TCAGCAAAAAAGCCATTTTTAAGTGCTCCAGCTTATTCTTTGCTGCGTCTGGCTGCTTGGTCTCCCCGCCAGCAAGCAGGTTAGGAGTTCGAAACCGCTATTTGGGAGTGCCCTGAGAATGGCAGCTGCTTGAATGCCCAGGGAGAGTTGCTGCAATTTCCTCCGTCCAGGGCTGTATGTGCAAGGCTTGGTGGTGTCCCTTTGGGGTGCTCAGGCTTCATTCCTCTTCCTTGGTGCTCAGCTGTGTCTTTGATAGTAGAGATTGCTCAATAGGCGTGTGTGTGTGTGTGTGTGTGTGTGTGTGTGTGAGTGAGTGACACCTGCTTACTAATACTTAATGGCTGGCTGCTGTCCCCACAGGACAAAGATTAATGGGTGATGAGGAAAATGCCAGAGAGCCAGTTCACAGGTCACAGGACTGTACTTTTCAGAATTCCAGATCCCACTTCCTCAGTCTCAGTGTAGTAAACAACCCCTTATTAGTACCAGTTGATTGTTTCTAAACTCCTTCCTCACCAGCACTGGAGACTGGAGATAGGGGGAAATATAGCAGAAACATCAGGTTTTAGGGATTTTTAGGGGTCAGTTTTAGGGACTCATGAATAATTTCCACCAGCAACACACAATTTAAAAGCCTTCCTCCCTCAAGAGTTTTACTGATTTCCAGACAATAAAACACCACTGATCATATCCTATCGCTGGTGCACGGGTTCTGAGTAATGTAGAATATTGTGGTGCTTTACTATCTGAAGTTGTTGGAACCTTCCTGATTTATGAGACTTGGGCATTTCTCAAGAATTTAACCATTTAGCTTAGTCAGAATTGACAGCAAGAGGACTATTAGATTACAATGAACCAGCATGACTCCAACTGTATGAGAAATACAATTCCAGGGAGGGCAGAGGCCGCAGGAATCGGGGACCAACGAAATGAATGTTGCAAGCTTCTGGGGCCACTGGTGGGCAGGGCAAAGAAGAAAGAAAATGTGAAAGAGCAAAGACTTAACGTGAGGGAAAAAAAGCTAGATATAAAAGGGCTTAAAGAGAATCAGCTTTGTAGACAAGCAGAAAGGCTTTCCAAATAGGTATGGACTACATACTGTGTATGGTTTTCATCTCAGCTACATGGGGGGCCTCATTCTCGAAAAGCAATGCAAATACCACACCGCATGTCCTGCACTGGCTAATTCCCGTTTAATTTTCTGCAGGGAAGTGAAATATCCAGAGATTGCTCCACGTGGCCACAGCTGGCTGGTGGTAACTCAAGTGAAAGTACAGAAATAAGACGCAAGCATGTCTTTGAGCAAGACAAGCCTCTACCTAGCCAAGTCGCAAGCTTGTACACAAAGAACACTGGGCCGAAACCGGTTTGGCTCAGTGGATAGAGCTTCAGCCTGCGGAATGAAGGGTCCCGGGTTCCATTCCGGTCAAGGGCATGTACCTTGGTTGCAGGCACATTCCCAGTAGGGGGTGTGCAAGACGCAGTTGATCGATGATTCTCTCTCATCGATGTTTCTAACTCTCTATCCCTCTCTGTAAAACATTAATAAAATATATATATTTAAATATATATTTTTCAAAAAGAACACTGAGCCGGGACCGGTTTGGCTCAATGGATAGAGCGTCGGCTTGGGGACTGAAGAGTCCCGGGTTCGATTCCGGTCAAGGGCATGTACTTTGGTTGCAGGCACATCCCCAGTAGGGGGTGTGCAAGAGGCAGCTGATCGATGACTCTCTCTCATCGATGTTTCTAACTCTCTATCTCTCTCCCTTCCTCTCTGTGAAAAATCAATAAAATATATATTAAAAAAAAAAAAAAAAAGAACACTGATCTTAAAAGCCTGGCCCAGGGGCCCCATTTCCCCCATTTCCACCCACTGGTAATCATAAAAGGGACACTATCAAGAAACAATGATCGGAAGGCGCGCTAGAGAACGAACAAAAGCAGTGGGCTCAGGAAGGCAGTTGACACGGGATAAAAGAACAACATCTTCAGAGCTCTTAGCTTGAGAGGGGGCCACCGGGTAGGGAGGGGAAGACCCAAAACAATCAGCCGATAGCTTCTGCTGGCCTCACAGGCCTTTGCCCTGCCCGCCAGTGGCCCCAGAAGCTCGCAAGCGCAGCTATTGCAAAATGAGGGCGAGGCCTGGAGAGCCAGGGAGGGGAGCCTTCACGTCGGGATAGAACTTCTGCCCACATTTCTGACTGTCCGGATGGAGCAGACTCTAGCTGAGGATAAAATAACCGAGACGGGATTCCCGCTGCAGCTAAGAAACAGCATTTGTAGCTTGAGTGCAAAGCAACTGATAAACCAAGCAAATAATTGACGTCCTATGTCAGACGCATTGGGCAGGGAATGTATTGTAGATTCGCAGGCTCTGCCGGCCCACAGATGGGCAGCATCAAATGTATTGTAGTGCCTCGACTCTGCGGCTTCCATGACTCAGGCAACTAGGGTCTGAGGCCTGCTGCTCTGAGAGTTGGCACAGTCCCCATCTCACGCTCACGTTTTGCTGAAACAGGCTGCACTTCAGTGCGCAGTGCTGTCTGGCTGCCTGCGTCTGCGGTGCTGGCCACATGAGGCTGCGAGGTCATCCAGAGGCAGCGATTCACTCAAGATCACTGAAAACTGGCGGCTGCTGGAGGAGGTCACAGGGTGACCAGAGAGCCGCCTGCCAGCCATCTCCTGCAGTTTGGCCCAGGCGCCTCCCTCTGCCACCTTACTCTGGCCATGGTGCCCCGCCCATCCCTTGGAAAGTAGTCTTGAATAGGTGGATGTTAAAGATCTGCGAGGGCTTCACGAGTCAGCATATAGCAAGCTGGTTGGCACAGGAAGGTGAAATATGTCACATGGGTCTGGTATCTTGGTATCAACAGTGAACTGTTTCTATTGCTGTCACTTTCGATTATAAAAACACTCATAGGTCAGAACTAGGAAACAGCTCTTAGTGAACTGGACAAACAGAGCAGTAGTGTTTGTAATGCACTTCTGCCCCACCGGGGCCATTGTGACGAAGTCTCGCCCGTTACCAAGGAGAAAATGGGGCCCCTCAGTTGGCTTGTCTCCACAGCAAGTGTGCAGTCAACGTGGCAACGTGGCAAGTCTGAATTAGAAGTCTCAGCCTTCACATCTGGCACCCAAGGGACCCCTCTGTCGAAATGAATGCGATGTTTAATAAGGGATAAGGAGGCTTGGGTATTCTGATGGTTCCTTTTTCAGTAATGCTGATATTGATCACACGTTGTCAACTTGAGCCATGCAATAAAACATTTTCCATCAACTTTTCACCTAATACGTTCAGCAGCCTAGATCCATTATTTCACTAGACGTGACACAATGTTTTCTTAACCCTATTGCTTCTCTGAAACTTAGCTGATTCCTGAGTGAAGACCTTTCCCTGATCAGGCTGACCTGACACACAAAGAAGTCAGAGTAAATGTCTCCATCTTCCAGTTAGAATTCCTCAAAATAATGGATTGGTGGGTGGCCTAGTAACCTCCAAAGGTGACTTTTTTTCTTAACTATCATTATGACATCATAAATTATTATGTATTTCATGCTTCAGCCCAGTGTTGTTCTTGTTCAAACTACTCCATGTTTGGTAGATGGGAGTCCCTCCCAGTTGGCTCCTGGGTCCTTTTGACATGACCTTACTCTTTTTTTAAGTATGACAGCTTCAGCATGTGAGTGAGAGGAGGGTGTAAGCTACCCAGAAGGAACCTGAGTATACATGTAGGCAGCCAAAGGCAAAGGCAGTGTGTCACCTTCTCCCCTGAAAACCCGAGGCATGCCAGATTTTATTCCAAGTTGCTACTTTCCTGAAGAGGGGCAGTTAGTCGCCTTGGAGAGGGAATCACCTTCGTTATGACCCTACTCTTGCTTGCTTCCCTGCTTTCTGCCACAAGATGGTCCAGCCTCAAGTTGTCCTTTCCCTGCCCTGTCCAGTGGGAGAGGCTGGATGCTAGGGTGGGCCTTACTGCCAGGTTGTGATTGATCCTAGGCCTTTTCAATGGACAAAGCTATGCCATATGTGTCTTTCAGAAAGAGAAAAATAGATCACAGTATTTTACTGGTATTTCTAATTGAAATATATGACCCTAGGATTTTTATTTGACTTTAATGTTATATTTTCTCTTGTGTTAAAAATCTTGGCTCTGAATTCCATGGACATAATATTCACTTTATCATATATAAACACACTTTCAAATGGCACCACCAATAGCACTGCTAAAAACAACCCCCTTTCCTAGCAATTGTTTGTTTTTTTCTAATACCTTTATTGGGGGGGGGGTATTCTTGTTATATTGAATCTAATGTGCCCTTCAAATATAAACATAAATATATAAAATACATATATGAAGACATTTCAAAAGTGTTTTCTAGGTAATATTCTGAAACCAATTCTAGATAAACTTTCTTTAAAAAAATTAGTTTTAGAAAAAAACAAATTATATTAAGGGATGTGTGAACACGGGGCTACGTGTGGAGGGCACAGCACTGCAGAGCAGCCTTCCCTCAGAATGCCTCGCATTCTGAACACTCACTGGATCCATGGCCCTATAGTAACTGGTGGTAAATACACCGGGCCATCATTGAAAACTCAAGAACATGCACAGCGGTTGTCTTGTGACGATCACAGTGAAATTCATTCTGTAAAATAACATTGGAGTATGTTGCGCATAAATTAGCAACGATCAAATCCTGTGATTGATTTTAAAAAACATTTACCAACCACTGTATGTTCAGGAATTTGAGGACTGCTGATTTTCTCTGCTAGCTCAATCTTCACAAAATTACATATGCTTTAGCCCGAGGTAAAATTTAACTACTAAAAAGGATCATGACAACCTTTTTCAAATAAAGCAAAATGAGTCAGTAGGAAAATAAGTTCCACTTGACAACCGGGTACATCATTTTCCTGAACCACTTGGCCCATTCGTAGCTGAAACCCCATTTACTAAGTGAACCTAGAAACTGTCCCCCCAACCCCTGCCCCTCCACAGAAACCTGTCATTTGTCCAGCAAACAGTAATTAAGGGAGACAAGCGAGTCTGTCAAGCAAAAATACCAAAGTGTCACTCAAATTATTTGTCCCACACGTGCTGGAATCTGGCCATCTAAACTATCAACTAAAAGGAAAGGCTATTTTGGTTCTGAAGCAGGAAAATCAGACATGTCTTGGCTCTTACCTTTGGCACTAACCTACTTAATCTGACAAGTGAGACAAACTCATTGGAAACCTATCTGTTTTGCTTCAGTGTAATCTGTATATATTGCCTATTCTTTTGTAGGGGAAATAATGTTGAAAACATTCAGTCTTTTTGGCAGTTAATCAACAAGTCATACAACCTTACGTCTAACAGTCAGAAATTTCCTAATTAACCATTAAAAAAATGCAACAGTCAAAACCATGAAACAGTTATTTGCTCTAGGTTACTGTTTTTATTTCCATAACCACCTTTCTGCTAGACAAGAACATTAGCAAAACCTGAGTCAGAAAAGCCGTGTCCGTGACAATCCCGTTCTGTTTTCTTCTTCCAGTTACCACATGGAGCTTTTTCACAGTTCCAGAGGTTCTCCTCATTTTAAAACATCAAAAAAGTACTACAATTGATGGCAGTTGTTGTTAAATAAAGTTCAATCAACTTTACAGAATTTTAGTATAAATTCAAGCATGTAAATTAACACAAAACTTAAAAAAAAAAAAAAACACCAAACAAACCCAAGTGCTAGCTCACCTCTGGTGCCATGAGATGTAACAGCACTATCTGTTTTTATATTTAGTGGTAAAAATATAATCCAGTTTTAGCACCGATCTACAAGATTACATGTTAATGAAGAGATAGGATTTGGCTTACTGGAAGATAACAGTCCTACTATCCCTCAGTGAGGAAATCTGTTCACTTTGCTGCATCCTGGCTCACAGAAAAGACTAACACGTGAGGAAGAAGAATAGTCTTTGTTAAGGCTTTTCAGTACTTAGATCACCTAAGTCAGTGGTAGGCCAGTGGACAGCAAACCGCCGCTCGCGAGCCACATGTGGCTCTTTGGCCCCTTGAGTGTCCTAACGCCACTTCTTCAAAATAGAATCGCCCAGACCGAAAACTGACTTCTGCGAATGGGTCACGAAATTTCAATCTCACTGTACATGTGCGCCCGCACGTGGTATTTTGTGGAAGAGCCACACTCAAGGGGCCAAAGAGCTGCATATGGCTTGCGAGCCGCAGTTTGCCGACCGCTGACGTAGGTATTACTGTTGTGTTTTGCTGGAAGTGGAGAATTGCATCACACATAGGAGATCCCCAGGAGTTACACTGTTGTAGACATGTCAGGCTGGATCACATTTAAAATGCTGACCATGGCTTTGCAGCCTTAGAGTAGAGGAAAATCAGAAAAATTAATGCTAGTGACCAATTCCTATTTTCTACCCAAAATGCTATCTCATCACTCCATTTCAAAAGTGAAGTATTCTAAAAAGGTGACATATTTTTACATAAAAACACACTGAATGTTGATGCATTATATATCAGTTATTAGACATGGCAAATACAAGCAAAGAAAATAAAGTGCGACTTTACAGTATATAAAACATAAATACAGAAATCACTTTTTAAAATAGGCAATATAGACTGAAATATAAAAAGTGCCTGACGTAGCAAAGTTAGACAGAAATGAAAACAATTTCAGTTGAAAAAATTACCATTTCTCAGTACAGCAGAGCGACAAACAATCTTTTATTAAAGCTATTAGATTCGGAGGCTCGTGTATATTTTGGCTTTGTGAGGGAGAAAGAAAGGCATTCTTCTAGAAGGCACTAACTGGTTTAGGTGTGCAATCAGCTTCACAGAGAAAACAGGTGCAAAGTACAGCCAAGAAGACTGTCTGGTTCTGTTGTGTTCCTTCCTCTTCCCGGGGACTGACTGTCAGTCAGAGCTTCCCCCATCACCCGGTGCTCAGTCCACAGTGTCACAGATCTCCTTCACCTTGTGGTTGAAATCGTCAGGTTGATCTGCATACACATAATGCCCCGCTCCAAGGATGGCCTGGGGAAGGAAAAGCAGGTGGTCAGGGAGGAAAGGGATTTACTAAAGCAATGACATAAGCAAAGATGCTTATCCATGAAAGTCAGAACAGCTAAATGTAAATAAAACACAGGGCTTGATGCCCCATATGGGGCATGCAGGAGGCAGCTGATCAATGATTCTCTCTCATCTTTGATGTTTTATCTCTCTCTCCCTCTCCCTTCTTCTCTGAGATCAATTAAAAAAATAAAAAAGAATACTCTGGTTTCTCTCCAAATCACATAATGACGACATCAGATGAGCGTGACTGTCCCATAGCTGTGGCTGGAGAGGGGGCAGGGGAAACGGTACAAACCCTGAAGGTGTGTGTGTGTGTGTGTGTGTGTGTGTGTGTGTGTACACGCATGCACGTGCATGCGTGCACAGAGTGGGAGGCCCCATGAACTCTGGTTCATGCTCTGCACAGCGTGCTGTCCCTCACTGTCTGTTTGATATTCTATGATATTTATTTTACGAAAGCACTAACCTGTAATAAAGTGAACAACTTGCTTTTTATGGAAAAAAAAAGAAAAAAAAGAATAAGCAACACTGTTCTGAGGCAACTAGGTACTATATAGGCTGGGGTAAAAGAAGGTTTACAGTTATTCATATGGAAAATAATACAATAAATAACAATGCAAGAATCAACTATTTCATGTACTCACAACTGTAAACCTACTTTTGCCTCATTCTAGATATTTCTATCAAATAAAGAATCTGAGAGAATAAAGAGGGGAAAAATCTATTGAGCTTCATTAAAATTTTAACATGCAAAAATAAAAAAATAAACCATTCCAAATTGACCACTAAGACAGGGCCACAGAGAACTGAACGAAGTGAGAGTGTGCTGCTTTGGGAGGGGGACGTGGCCAAGGTGCTTCTGGACCTACCCCTCTTCCAGGCGCTCCCACCTCAGACGCTGTGGCTCTAAGGTCAGGCACAGCCGTAAGAAAGGCAGTTTACCGCCTGGACATGAAGGCCAGTGTGGGTCCAGTCCTACCCCATCACAGTGGTCCCAGATCAGACCGAGGCTGCAGCACGCAGCTCAGGTGTGAAAGCATAGGTGGCCAGCAATCTCATTGAAGGCAAAGATCAGAACAGATCTCACCTAACTGAAACCCCCCCAAAAGCCACCCACTTACTATTGTCTTCACGTATGAGTGTGGTCGTAAGGACTGGATGCTGGTGCCAGAATTGCCGTCTATGCAGGACCGGGCGCCGTAGATCACCGAGACTGGAATGTCAGGGTCCATTTTGCCGATTCGCTGGAGCATTGGTCTTTTTGCCCATCCATAAGGAATAGTCATGTTTCTGAATGCTGTCTCACCACTTTAAGAAAAAGAAGAAAATCGCACGATGACTTCTGGGGAGAAGCATGTATCAAAACAGACTCACATTAAGTTTCTTCCTCACTTAACAAAAAGCTCAGCTTAAACAGAAAGCAATTTAGTAGAAACTGTAAGGAACAACCCCACAGAAGATTTATACCTCTGTATACACCCTGCAGAAGGTGTGTGCTTTGTTGGATAAACATGGATGTCCAAACTCTAGTGAATTAAATAAAGCCAAATCAAAACTTGCAGCCCTAACTCCATGTTATTAAATGATTAAATTTCCTATGGGAATAGTTAAAATGTATTTTTTTCACTCTAACTTTTTTCAAATATAGAAGACAGCTTTTCCACAGGTTCATAGCACCTGCTTTTTATAGGCCTATACCAAGATAAGAAATTAAAATTAAGCATTTTTTGTGTATTGTTTATACTTTTAACATTTGACATCTTAAAACCTTGCTGGCTGAGAAAGAATGTGCCTCCAGGAACTAGCCATTTCTCAGAGGTGACAAAGGACTCCACAGGGAACATGCCTTCGATATGCAAATGAACAAGTGCAGAATCCCACCTCTTTGGTTGCCCAGACAATCCAGGAGGCAATATTCCTCTGCCTTACCCATCCAGGACCAGATAACCAGCACCTAGAGACTACCCCCACTCTTTGAGCCTACCGACCTCACTCCACTGGCCAGTCCCAGATGCCACCCTGCCTGCTGGGTGCCTTTCTGGAAGACCCCATGGAGGCTCTGACCTGTTTCCCTTTGCTCCTGTCCAAAACCTGGCCTTTCTGTGATCTCCTGGAACCTGTGAATATAATGAACTGCTTTCTTGAGTCTTTCCTGCTTCTTGTAATCATGGCTACACAACACTTTGCAAACTCCCAGGATAGACCCATTTTGCTGTCATTTCTGCTTTTCTTACAGTATTAGGCGTAATTTTGAATTGCCTTTTATGAAGGCTTTAAGGTCCACTGTAAGAAAGGCTACCACAGGACAAGTAATCATGAAATGTAAGTGAAGAGTAAGACACTAAGACCGTATAGGAAAACACATGATGTATCTGGGATAGACCACTAAAAATTGTAGGAATAAGTCAAAATGTGTAGACCTAATCTACCAGATCCTACTGCCTGAGTCACAAAACTGTCTCTTGATGATTCCAACCCTCTCCAGCCTCCCTCTAACCCACTTTATTAAAGAGTGAGGCCATAGTCACACCTCAATAGCTTCCATAGTCTCAATCTTAAATGAAGTAGGTATACATATTCGCTATCAAAAGTTAGGGAGGAAAAAAAGTGAGGGAGACTGTCTCTGCATCTAGCCTCTCGGCCTTTCATACTCAAGTCTCCATCTTAGAGAGGATGAGGTACCACTTGGGGGCCACGGCCCAGCTACATTAGAAGCATCTGTTAAAGATGCAGCCCAGAACTTCTAATCCTGACTCTGGGAAACAGGGCTCAGAAATCACATATTTTACAAGCTCCAAGAATTCTGGTACACACAGAAGCATGAGAACTGGAGTAATCACCTTCATATTCCCTTCTTGATCCTCAACCTACCAACTCTAGGGTCTTGTCTTTCGGGCTCTTCCTAGCTCCCCACCATCTTTGGGCTCCGTTTTCTCCCTTGGTTCCTTGCAAACAATATCCCTATTTTTTTCAGTTTTATTTGTTTGTGTGTTTTTTTTTAAATAAGAAACACCCGTGTTTGGCCTTCTTGCTCCCTGTAGCTACTATGTTCTCTCATTCTCTCTATCCTTGTAATTACTGTCAAAATACATGCAGGATCTCTCTTCCCCTACCCCCACTCTTTACTTACTCCTCACCATTAAGAGCTGCTTAGTAACAAGAGGTGCAATCATCAAATGAACTTAAAAAATGCTGCATAACATCTCCCCCGAACTTGGGAGATTTATTACTCTTAGCAGAATAAAAGGTTCTAAGAAGATCCATGATACAGAAAACTATTTAGATTGCTTAATCCAGCACTCTTTTTTGGGAGAACATTCCTTTTCAGGATGTGGTTTTATATGAAGTCTTCTTATCTCTCAACTCTGACGGTCTCTTACAGATGCCTGAGACCAAGACTTCCTCAAGTGATCCATAAGCATTTTAGGGGAAGAAAACAGGCCTTACTTTTCAAACTCCTATCAGAATCCAGTATTTTACACAAAAAGAGCTCCAAGAATAGATGAGTAACTTAAGAATGTCATTTAACTACTGATAACATCTCCTAGACTATTAGCATATTTTCAAAAAAGGAAAGTCGAAACTATGAACACAGTGCAGTTAGAATGATAAGCCTTACCTTGGAGTCTGGACATTACAGTGGTAGATGTATTCTGTCACAGTGTCATCTTCAAACATTGAAGCATACTTCCGTTTGAAATCAGGCCTTAAACGCTGTACTAGACTTAAACCTATTTAACAGAAAATGAATGTTTTAAATGGTCAGTGTTTTAAATTATAATTGACTTACAGGTTAATACAGAAAGTTTCATTGTTTGCTTATATAATGAGCATTACATGCTTACAACATACGTATTCAAATGTATATTTTAGGTGGAAAGAAACATGTATCCTAGAAGCTGCTCTCCTCAAGTTCCCTAAGGAGAGCTCAAAGTAAGAATTCAAGTGTTCCATGTGATCCACAGATGCTCTTTAATTCAAAAGCATATGATTGTTTTCTAAGATTTGTTTTTGTAGGAAAATAGATTCTATTAAACATAGCAGATGAACAGAGCAGCTCATATCTAAAATGAACTTATATTTTACCAAGATATATATATATTTCTGTGGAAAAAATAAATTCAGGGTTTCTGCTTGGGTCACTAACAATACTCCAGGCACCCACAGAGGTCCTATGGCCCTGAGGGGAGAACAGGGACAAGGCCCCAAAGGAAAGAAGATGAAGAGCAGGAACCATCATATTTCTGGGGCCCAGGGACTAACCAGTTTCCCTTTCTGCTATCACTGCCTATTATTCTAGCAAGGTCTTGGTTCTTTAATGACATCCCTTACTATTTCTGAAGGAATCATGCAGCTCCATCAAGAATTTGTATGATGTAGTTAATAGTCTACAGCAGTGGTCGGCAAACTGCAGAGCTACGTACGGTTTGCCGCTCTATTGACTAATGAGTTTGCCGACCCCTGGTCTACATTACTCTCTAGTATCACCACCACCTTCATGTGCAAGCGATAAATGGGAGGCATCCATCTTCTACCACTGTCTCCTAATTTCTTTTCATACTTTATTTTTCTGATCAAGTCAAAACCACTTACTACAAAGATTCTTAGGTAGTTCAGAGGAGGTCCAGACCACCACCATCTGTGACAAAAAGGAAGGAAACTGCCTTGGCTTTGAGACTAAAACAGAGGAGCTGAGGGTCAAATGAACCAAAATCAAAGACTAAGCACTGGAATCTTAAAATATGACTGGAAACACAAGAGTTCCCAAAATCTTTGCAGAAAAGAACTTTATCTACTTAACCCTCCGACATTATAGGATGAGAAAAGATTCTGTGAGTGTTGCCGTCATTTCCATGGTAGATCAAGTCAGGCTTCAAAAACTGCAGCTGGACATGACCTCTACAGCTGGACATGACCTCTGCAGCTGGACATGACCTCTGTAGCTGGACATGACCTCTGCAGCTGGACATGACCTCTGCAGCTGGACATGACCTCTGCAGCAGGACATGACCTGTACAGCTGGACATGACCTCTGCAGCTTGACATGACCTCTGCAGCTGGACATGACCTCTGCAGCAGGACATGACCTCTGCAGCAGGACATGACCTCTGTAGCTGGACATGACCTCTGCAGCTGGACATGACCTCTGCAGCTGGACATGACCTCTGCAGCTGGACATGACCTCTGCAGCTGGATATCATCAGCCTGACGAGTGCTCTTTAATGGCCACCAACAAGTCCAGAGAGCACTCCCCCCAGCCCAGTCCCTCAAAGACTCCTCATTGAGGAGAAGGGTCTGGTTTCATTCATCTTTATGCATGGACTGGTACTTTTTAGAGAAAAAGTAAGGTTCAGTTTTTCCCTTTGTTTTTAAGATGTTGACTAACAATGGTGATCAACAAATACTTCTTTACTGCTCACATATAAACATTCTGCTTTCCTAGGGTACAGATCTAAACACTCACCAAAGGGTCCTGCAATCCTGAGGCCAGCTAAAGGGTTAAAGGGAGTCAATACTGCTCCCAGGGCTCTGATCCAGACTGGAATTGGTCTGTCTTGATCAGCAAGGTCTGGTCGCTCAGGGAAACCCCAAGGCTCCACTAAAATGAGATGATTTACCCTGTTGGGAAAAGAATGGATTTACATTCATTTGGCAAATTCACCCCAGTGTCAAGAATTAACACAATTTATGAAATAAAGACAAAAGAACCACCTTTAACAACCTTCACATTACAGACAAGACCAAGGACTGAATAGGTTACATCATGTTCTTATCCTATCTAGTAATAGGGTAAATATGCAAATTAACTGTCACTCCGTCACAATGCTGTGGTACCCACAGCCACAAGATGGCGGCGCCCAGTCCTCTCAGCCTCGCTGGAGTCCCCCAGTCCCAAGGGGTGCCACTGAGAGCAGGCAGCGTGAGCAGCCTGGTGGAGTGATTGCTTCGTCATCCCATGAAATGCTTGCATCATCGCCCTGGTGATGAGGCAAGCATTCTGTGCCCACCCGCGGACAGGTCTCTGGGCCATGCAGAGGCTCTGGGCAGTGGGCGCAGAGTGGCCAGGCCCTGCAGAGAGCTACTGGTGCACGGATTCATTACATATAAACTAGTTACATATAAACTTTTGAGATTTGATAGGATTTGAGAGGATATCTAAGAGTATATGATACTGTGTGACTATTCTTGAGAAATTGTATTTGTTGTTGTTTAAGCTACACTGACAGATGACCACTCAGAAAAATCCAGTGGCTCAATCTATCTCAAGGCCGACACTGCAGAAATGACTGAAGATTAATATTACACTCAGAAAATAGTTTAGGAGGCATTAGGAGATTAAGTGGGTTCAAAAGAACTTTAAATTGACTTTTCACAAACATAAGGATAATGTAGTAAAATGGGCTGAAAGGTACTTCCTAGTTTTGGATGCTATTTTGGTGAATAGCACACCTACCGCACCCATGACATCATGCTAAACTGGCCGCAGATGCTATCCTTTCCTAATTCTCTTCCTTACTGACAAGAGGTAGGAACTTTTCAGTCTAAACTCATAAAATTGTTTCATATCACTAATAGTTTTATTTTTCCATCCTTTGAAACTGCTTTCTGATGAAAGAAAGCCATAACTCCCAGAGTACTTCCTTCCAGTGGCTATATTATATAGTAAATAAATATATTATTACTATATTATATAGTAAATCATGCAGATCTAAGCAGAGCATAAGGGTCTTCCTGACACAGATGATATTCAATTGTAAACAAAACAGCCAACAAATGCCAGCAACAATCTCTCAGGGATGAATTGACAATGATTCTAAAGTCCCTTCCTAAGTCATAAATGAATCAGAAAAGTAGAGAAACCAGCACTCAGGGTAAAGGTGGCTATTATTCCTGGTATTAAATGTTTTTCTCTTTGCCAGCACACTTTTGTTCTCACTGCATTTTCTCCAACAGACAGTTTCAGCACACAGACCCAGAGCTCCAAGGGCCCAATCTTCTGTCTCACAGGTTTGAGAAGGAAGCTGAGGTACACTGTGTGATCTGCTCCAGGACAAAAAGCTAGTAAATGTAGAACAAGGATTAAAATGCACATCTCCTGACTTCAGGATACTAACAGATGCCAACAAGCCATTGGGCAGAAGGCTCTCTCCTAAGGACAAGCTAAGCACAAAAAATAAAGATATTAGTAAAGGCAAAGCCCTTCACTTTTATCAACTCTAGGCTGGTCCTAATACTACACTCTAGATTTCATAACACCAAGATTTGTAGAATGTAACTATGAATCTGCGTGGAAATGTGCCATGCAAGATATTTCTATAGACCTTGAGTGCCTTCAATCATAAAAGTTCTATGAGACTATCCTATATAAAAGGCTATATGCAAATCGACCAAACGGGGGAATGACCAGCCGCTATGATGTGCACTGACCACCAGGTGGCACTCAGAGTAGGATCTGCCCCCTGGTGGTCAGTGCACTCCCACAGGGAGAGCACCACTCAGCCAGAAGCCCGGTTCATGACTGGTGAGTGCAGCAGCAATGGTGGGAGCCTCTCCCGCCTCCACAATAGCACTGAGGTGTTTGACTGCCGGCTTTGGCCTGCTCCCCAGTCAGACATTCTCCAAGGGCTCCTGGACTGCACAGGTTGGGATGAGGGACCTCTGAGTGCACAAATTTCGTGCACATACCTTGGTTGTAGGCTCGATCCCCAAGAGGCAACCAACTGATGTTTCTCTCACTCTGTCTCTTCCCCTCCCTTTTACTCCCTCTAAAAATCAATGGAGAAAAATAGCCTCAGGTAAGGATTAAAAAAAAATGGTATTATTCATTATTGACTTACCTCGTAAAGAAAAAAAATGATTCTACCCTAAAAGATGACTAAACTTTTGTTAAAATCTGTTGTAGGATCTTGCCCAGTCTGCTCTAGACTCTTACAGACCCGCTAACCCAAGAAGGAAGAGGACAAAGGAAAATTCGAGGGAGGGAAAGTCAGGTTAAGTGATTGTTTTGGTTTTGCCTTAAATTTGGCTTGCCTGTTTACTACGGATCTGTAAAATATCATCTTTAGGTAAGAATGGCAGCTTAACAAATGAGAATAAATTGCTCTAATAACTGATCCTGTGTCATCAGCCTAGCATAGTGCTTAGCACATAACAGATGATCAGTAAACATTTGGAGTCTTGTTGTCCACATTTCCTTTCAGTCCTTGTCTTTAAGGATATATAAATTTTGTAAAATATAATCAAGTAAAAAGCAGAGGATCTATCTAGTCTGGATTTCCTGGTTTCCCAGATGACATGAGAACATCACAATAAGTTCTCATATTAATCTTGCAGGTTGTTACTCACTAGTGGATAGTAAAATCCATTTAGAGAGTCAGAGCCAGTCTGGCCTGATTGTTTTTTTAATAAAATTATATAATGTGGAGTAGAAAAATATATGTGTATCATTGCACAAAACTTTGTTTCAGACACACACACACACACAACTCATACTGAGGGTTCTAGTAAAAAAAGTTTGAAAATCATTTTTTTTTAAAGTTCTACAATAATGTCTAAATTGGAGTTATATATATCATCTACTTCCACTACCTCAGAAAACAACTGTTCCTTATTTGTTATTGTAAGGCTTTAAAATGAGATAGACTGTGCAAAGTTATCAAATAGTAAATATAAAGTAAATGTTAGATAGTTACAGTAGCAAAAATAGGAAGACTACTGGAGAAGAATTCATTCCAGGAAGCCGGGAAGACAGTGGCAAGAACCACATGAGCAGTGAGTAATTTAACTTTCATCCTCCAGGAAAGACTAACCACAGGTTTTGTATCACAGGTTATTATAACCCTGCAGTAGACCAAGTTCCTAGGCTATCTTCTTGCCTCCTTTTCTAATGAAAAGATCATCTCATTTGATAGTAGTTATTTGGTTTTAATGTAGTATAACTAAATTAGTATAGTAGCAATCCAGACCCTGGCCTCTCATATTCTGCAGTTGATAGCATGATGGGATTCTTAGTTCACATCTAGGATTAAGAAATGGGTCCACCCAGACACCACATATGAGTCATCCTATCAGACACCTTTGTCAAGAATCAGAGACTTACTTGAACCACATGAAAAACAAAGAACCAGCAGAGGAGGAACAAGAGGACAATAGCCCATCAATTTCAAAACATAAAGAGGCCCTAACCGCCAGGACCGGTTTGGCTCAAGTGGATAGAGCGTCAGCCTGGGGACTGAAAGGTCCCAGGTTCAATTCCGGGCAAGGGCATGTACCTTGGTTGCAGGCGCATCCCCAGTAGGGGGTGTGCAAGAGGCAGCTGATTGATGATTCTCTCTCATTGATGTTTCTAACTCTCTATCCCTCTCTCTTCCTCTCTGTACAAAAATCAATAAAATATAATATATTTAAAAAAAAACCACACAAAAAAACAAGAGGCCCTAACCAGTTTAGCTCAGCGGATAGAGTGTCGGCCTGTGGACTGAAGGGTCCCAGGTTCGATTCCGGTCAAGGGCATGTGTCCTGGTTGTGGGCACATCCCCAGTGGAGGGTGTGCAGGAGGCAGCTGATCGATGTTTCCCTGTCATGATGTTTCTAACTCTATCCTCCTCCTTCCTCTCTGTAAGAAATCAATAAAATATATTTTTAAAAAAACCATAAAGAGGCACTCTTCTCCAGGTTAGTCATTAGAGTAGGTCCTGAGCTGGAAGATGGTGAGGTGAATGCAGTATAAAGGGCAAAGTGTGGACAACACACAAGCTCTAACCCCTTGGGACAGCTGAGTCTAAGTGCTAGCAAAGGTATAAAACCCGACTTTCATAAATTTTAAGTTCTGCCACTAACTACATATATTATAACAAGGAGAATATTCAGAGCAAGAACTAAAATGCACAAGGGAGTCTGCAGGACCTACTTATGCAACAAGGAAAGGGGAAAAAAAGGATCAGAAAGAACTCTAGTGAGTGCACAAATGAGCAAGTCTCAGATGGAGGCAGGCTCGGGTATTTCCCATTGCCTCCAAGCCCCTGGGGAGAATGGGACAGGTCCAGAGCACAACAAACTAAGTACCTCCAACTTCAGATCAAGTAGAACCACCTTTCTTCTCAAGAAAGGCTGAGAAGAAATGTTCAGCTCACCTCTGCAGAGTCCGAAGACAGAGCCAGGCAAGATCAAAAGGTCAGATGATCTGAAAACCTTTTCCTGAAGAAGTAAAGACCAGTTGTGACCTACTCTGTTGTAACTTTTTAAAAAAATATATTTTATTGATTTTTGTACAGAGAGGAAGGGAGAGAGATAGTTAGAAACATCGATGAGAGAGAATCGCCGATCAGCTGCCTCTTGCACACCCCCTACTGGGGATATGCCCGCAACCAAGGTACATGCCCTTGACCGGAATCGAACCCGGGGCCCTTCAGTCCCCAAGCCAACGCTCTATCCACTGAGCCAAACCGGTCCCCGCTCTCTGCTGCAACTTGTAAACACTTTCTAAGTTAGTTACTTAGTGTCCTTTTCTTTAGTTTATAAGAAATACCTGAAAGTTGGATAAGAGACATTTAGAGTAGATAGTTCCATACTTGCTTAGTTGATACTGGTAAAATGTAAAATGAAGCATATTAAAAATTTTAAGAGTTTGAGCAAAAACAAATTTGAATCAGGCAGTGCCAACCAGAAGTAGTTAGGAATGCTCCATTAAGCAAAAGGAAAGACTGGCTGTTTGTGATTCGTTGTCCTTAGTTTTCGATTTCATAACCTTGAGACATTTGCAGGCTTAGATTCTGATTTGCTTACATAGGCCATGGCATTGGAGCCACATCAGTCTAGTAGCCTCCTTGTTTCATTTAAAACTGGGCACTCTTGCCGAAGCCAGTTTGGCTCAGTGGTAGAGCGTCGGTCTGAGGATTGAAAGGTCCCAGGTTTGATTCCGGTCAAGGCCTGTACCTTGGTTGCAGGCACATCCCCAGTAGGAGGTGTGCAGGAGGCAGCTGATCGATGTTTCTAATTCTCTATCCTTCTCCCTTCCTCTCTGTAAAATAATCAATAAAATATATTTAAAAAATAAATAAATAAAACTGGCACCCACTATGTGCCAAGCACAGGATTTTAACTGAACTTCATTAATGATTGGGGATATTTGACAATCCAGAGAATCTCATTATTTTGACATTAACCTGCATTGAATAATTTAAGTTATGCAATTAAGAATTCAGGATTGACTATTCAACACATTCTACAGAGTTCTACTCAATATTTGTTAGCAATCAGCCAATTTAAACATGCTAATTATTTCAAGCTTTCTCGTATTCATCTATTGCTAATATTTGGTGGTTCTTGATCCTGACACTTTAGTTTTATTTCTAGTATTAGGCACAAACATTCAAATCTCAATTTCTATAAATGTAGTCAGTCCAAGACTGGAATCACTGGCTTTGTTTTAGGTACCTATTCTGTCAACCATGTCATTCAAAATATGTTGCTATTCTCTTTTATAGATAATTTTAAAGTGATCATTCCCTTCTGAAAATCCTTATTTCTTTAAACATTCATAACTGCAAGTGAAAAATCTCCCTAACTTAAGTAGCAGATAGCCACGAAGAGACCAGGATTCTAAGACTCAGGGGTTTCATAACCAGAGTCTGGCCCATATCACATCTCCAAGGGATAAATACCACAAGAGAGACCTCATAAACATCTGTTACGAAACAAAGGAAGTTCAATCCCCACAAATACCCTGTTGTCTTATACCAGAAAAGTATCCACTTCCTTCTCTCAGTGACAAACATCTGTCACTAAGCGTAGGAACAATTAAAGGCAGTAATCCCAAACAGCCAACCAGGCGAAGGAAATTTGATTTTTTTTTTTTTAAAAGAACTGATCTGCCAGTTGAAAAAACTATCACTGTCTAGCATACACAGGACCATAAACTCTCCACAAAAGTCAAGTGTAAATGTTGACGTTTAAATAAAGAACCTGTATAGAAAAGTTGGCTGTTCCAGAGGAAGAAAACCTCAGGTACACAGGGCTGCTGCCCCACATGTACATGGAGTTATGCAATGAGCAGCCTCAGGGGTGCATAAAGGCACTCTGAAAATGACCATCACCCAAGGTCTCATCCACAGACCTCAATGTCACAGTTGGTTGCAATTTTGGATTTAAAAATTAGTCCAATGGAAAAAATACCTTGGCAACCAAAAATCCTGATTATTATTTGGTTCTTTCCGAAAGATAAACAAAAAAAATGAACTTTTCTTCCATTTTTTTTAAGCACTATAACGTGATCTTCCTTCAGAGAAGTAACATAATAGGAAATAACACAAGAAAATCAGGTAGAGAAAGGAGGAGATGCTACAAAGACTCTGAGGCAAAAACTTATTAATTAAATGACTTGAAAAATAGTTCTATAGCAATAAATGTTAGGACATAGTATAATTATAATACCCTTTAAAATACATTATACAGGTATATTTTCTGTAGTAAAGGAAACTAAAGCTTAGAGGTTAAGTGATTTTGCTCTAAGCCAAAACATAGCCGAAACCGGTTTGGCTCAATGGATAGAGCGTCGGTTTGGGGACCGAAGGGTCCCGGGTTCGATTCTGGTCAAGGGCATGTACCTTGGTTGCGGGCATATCTCCAGTAGGAGGTGTGCAAGAGGCAGCTGATCGATGACACTCTCTCATCGATGTTTCTAACTCTCTATCCCTCTCTCTTCCTCTCTGTAAAAGAATCAATAAAATATATTTTTTAAAAAACAAAAACATAGCACTAGGTATTCTAATTTCTAACCTTCTGGTTTCCTATTATAGCTTATTACAACCTGGAAAAACCTGTTGGATCCATAAGTCTAATGATAATAATAGTAAGCAATACCACAGCAACTTTTATTTGTGGCTTCAACTGTATCTATTCTAAGTTTAACAAATAGAAAGTCCCTTCTTAAGCTTCTATCAATATGTAGCATGTGAAATAGGAAAATCTGACATCATTATTTCAGCTACTAAATTGGGCATTAATTGTAACGTGCTTAGGGTCTTTTAAAAGAATCTGTCTTGTAAGGCTCAGATACAAAGCACCAAAGATAGAAACTAGAGACTAGCACAGGTGCTTCTCTTGTGTCACCATTACTTACCTTTTCGGGTACTTCAGTGAGTAAGCAGCAGCCAAGAACCCACCCAGGTTGTGTCCAAGCAAGATCATTTTGTCCAATCCTAGGGCACATCTCCACTCTTCAATGGATTCCACAAACTGATTCTCCACTTCTTCCGCTTCATTGTCAAACATAGGTCTACTACTTCGTCCAAAGCCCAACAGGTCAAAAGCATAAACGGGTCTATCAGTGCAAAGATCTTCATAGTTCAGTGCCCAGAGTCCAAGACCTCCTCCAAAACCATGGAGAAGGACAAGTGGAGTCTTATTTGGAACATCATAAGAGAATTTCAGTGTCCATATTTTATTTCCATTAGATATACGAACAGCTTCTTTTTTATATATACAGGGGACACCTAATAAAAACATAAAAGAAAAACTCTGCTCAACTTCACTACCTCTGAGGAGGGAAAGTATTCTCAGGACAATCAGAAATTAATAATCTACAAATCAACTGGTTACCATTCGTATGATCTTAGCCTTTATTATATCATTCCTTAAAAAAAAAAAAGTCTACATTTCACTAAAGCAAGTAATTCTTAACTATCATATTTTACATCTAAGAAGGACAATCCATCTCAGACAAGTCTCAAGTTCGTATGGTCAAGGTCTTTTGGCAAGTCATGTAGTTCTTTGGACTTCTTTCCACATTCATCAAATGAGAGTCCTTCCCCCTAGAAATGGAGAGGAACTCAATATTCCCTGAATCCGTTATTTGGAGGTCTCTATACTTGCAAACAAAACAAAAGAATGCCACCTTGGATTTTTCTAACACTTGAAGATTAAGCATTGAAGACTAAATTGCAGACTCAAAAGAAACCATTTTCCCTAAAAAGTAAATAATAAATTTAGGGAAGGATTAACAGTATCGTATTTAAACACATAACTAAATGTGATTATCAACAGTCTAAATGCAGAAGCAAATATGAGAATCCAGATGCCTTATATTAAATCAGACAGTAAAGAGATTTGTAAGCATGTAAACAACGTTACACTTACTACATTTCTATTTGAAAAGTAGTTATTTTTAGAAAATGTTACTTCTTTTAACTTGTATAGGTTTATTACTATTATTTTAAAATAAATTAATAAATTAACATATTTTAAATTACTCAGTCTTAATTTCTAATATTGTAAATGACACCTATTACCTATAAACAAAGCTCCTTAGGGTCCTTACTAAGAATATAACAGACACCGCAGACCAAAAAGTTTGGAAGCCCCTGCTCTTCTTGCTCATGACATGAAAAAGAAAAAAAAAAAGTTCTGCAAACAACTAACATACCACAAAATCTTAAGTTTCAGGACAATATGAATACTGAATCTATTTTAGCAAACAACTGTTAATGTATAAGAAGAAGGCCTTACATTTTAAAATTTTCTCTTCGGCTTCTTTAAGTTGTGATGTAGACGTAGGGCACCATGTGGGAAGCCAACCAGTTAGCCATCCTGACCTAGAGCATCAAAGCAAAACACAAAGAGGTGAGGTAATGCTCTTCTCAACTCCCAACTATTATACAGAGAAGAAAAGCAGAATAGAAAACTTATTGAGGGTGAAGCTATCTACATATGACAAAATTCACCTGATCAGAACAAAGCATTGTGGTAAATACTAGATTACAGACATTTAACTCCAACTGTGACCCTACAAGTGAATATCAAAGTCTACCTATGTTATCACTGTGGATAGTCAGATTCTAAATAATCAGGGGTTAAAAATGGACAGACTAAGAAAAGACAAACCCTGCCCTGGTAGCTCAGCAGTGTGGGACACATACCCCCAGAGGTACGGGAAGAGTTAGGTGGGGGTATGCACTGCACTGTGCTTAGCTGCACCTAATTCTATGTTCTCATGAGTACGAGGGGTACTCAGCGTTACGAAAATTATAGAAGGGGTACCCATATGTCAAAAGTTTGGGAAACACTGGATTAGAGCATTGTCCAAGGTTTTGAGTTCAATCCAGGTCAGTGCACACACAAGAATCAACCAATAAATGCATACATAAATGAAACAACAAATCGTGTTTCTCTCTCTTCCTTCCCCCAGCTCTCTCTCTCTCAAAATCAATAAATAAAAATTGGGGGGGGAGGAGAGACAAAAAAAGGCATTCCTCTTCCCAAGGCAGCCTCTTACCAGTGTGGAAGTGCAAGCAAGTCAGAGACCATGAGAGGGTATAAAATATAACTGCTATGAGGATTGAGAGAAATCTTATTAAAATATGAGATTGCTTTTATAATAAGGCTTCAAATCTAATAGTTAAAAGTAGGACATTAAAGCCATCTCCTGTTTGTATTTCCTCCTTTCTATGCAGGGGCAGGGGAAGTGGAGTAAACTTATAGGTGGCCTATGGTGGCAAATTCCAGGCCACCTCTCAATCTAGCTAAATGGTAATGGAAATTATAAATTCATAGCTTTAAGTCCAGAAGAAGAGGGACTGACTAAATCTGATGGCTCTGGCTCCATTTCTCTGTAATCCTCTCTTCTGTACTTTTCCCAGGGATTGGCCCTCGTACAATCTGACTAGAGTGAACTGGTTAATTTTAGTGAAAAAGCTTTGGGTTTCAACAAACAGTAAATGAAAAGAATGACCTAGTCTTCTGGCAGAAGATAGCTGAACAAAGAGAAAAAGGAACCAGGCCTGAGGCAACAAGCTGCCGGGAGGCTGGAAGTGACATGCCTTGACGTAGCCAGCCAAGGAGAGGATGGACCTTCAACTCCTGCCCTGGCACCAGCAGAAGTTGCTTTTGACTTGAACGCCATAGATGAATGAGCTTATTTCAAAGGTGGAGTGCAAGTCCAAGCACTTCCAGTGAAGGAAAAGACATCTGAGTCCATGCACACAGGAAGTGCATAATGTATGCTCTAACAAGTGCATTGGCTGTTTCCAATAGCTGCTGTAATAAATCACCACAAATTGGTGGCTTAAACAGAAATTTTTTCTATAGTTCAGGAGACCGGTATCATTAGGCTAAAATTAAGAGGTCAGCAGGGCCATGTTCCCAATAGAGGCCCTAGGGGAAAATTCATTCCTTGCCTCTTCGGAGTTCTGGTGGCTGCTGGTATCCCTTACCCTGTGGCAGGGTCACTCCAGTTCATCACCACACTGCCTTCTCTTTTGTGTGTCTCCTCTTCTGCCTGCCTATAATCTTCTCTGCCTATTACTTGAAAAAACACTAGTGAATCCATTTAGGCCCACTCAGATAATTCAGAATCATCTCATGATCTTTAACTGAATCAGTTAAAAGTCTGCAAAGTCTTTTTCATATAAAGTACCATTCACAGGTTCCAAGGATTAGAACATGGCCAAACCTTTGGAAAGCATTATCTTTGGGGACCACTATCACAAATAGAACATGAAGTGTGTCCCCAGATAAAATAGGTAGAAACATCCAATGAACGGTAGCTAGCACTACACTGATGACAATAACAGTAAGTCACTAAGATGATGCTCCATCGTTACGCAGTAATTCCTAAAGGAAGAATGTTGGCCAAGGTTTAGAAAGGGTTCAAAGAATTGTCATTCTGCATCATTCCTTGCCTCAAAGTTAAGGCACCTACAATGGAAAACTCAGTCTTTCTCCAGCTCTTTACCTGACACCCTAGTATCCTTTATGTCATTCATATTCTCTCTCTATTTTCTAGTCATACAATATCCCCTGTTCTCTTGCTTCTTGGTTCTGAACATCCTTGGAATGTGCATCTCCCCTTCCTTTCGTGATTCACTACACTTCTCACCAACCTCAGATTAGATTTCATTTCCCCAACAGGATTAGATCAAGGTGGCAAGATGGCACCCTATACTCAAACTTTATTTTCTTACTTCCCAAGTTGTGTAATAAAATTCTTATTTATTCACTAGAGGTTGGTGCATGGATTCGTGCACTGGTGGGGTCCCTTGGCCTGGCCTGTGGGGACTGGGCTGGAAATGGCTCTCTGACATCCCCCAAAGGGTCCCAGATTGCAAGAGGGTGGTTCTCGGGTGACTCACCCCAGAATTGGGCTCCCTCCTCTTTGGTTCCGGGTGCATCACCTGAGAACCACAGCTATTAAGTCACTGCAGCTTGCAGCTCCTGCACTGAACATCTGCCCCCTCGTGGTCACTGCACATCATAGCTACCGGTTGGACAGTCAGTCGCTTAGGCCAGTGGTCGGCAAACTCATTAGTCAACAGAGCCAAATATCAACAATACAACGATTAAAATTTCTTTTGAAAGCTGAAAATTGACTTCTGTGCATGGGCCACAAAGTTTCAATCGCACTGTATGTGCATGCCCGTACATGATATTTTGTGAAAGAGCCACACTCAAGGGACCAAAGAGCCACATGTGGCTCACGAGCCGCAGTTTGCCGACCACTGGCTTAGATTAGAATCCTTACGCAACTGTAATTTCCTTGAAAGTTAAGGACTTTGGGCTTATAACTGTATTCTCAATTTATATTCCTATACCTTGCATACTAATATACATTGATGATATGAACAAAAAAAGTTATTGCTTCATCTGAAATGAATTGGTTGCAATGAATTACAAGAGGATCACTTGAGTAATAAAAGAATTTTCTGGGATTATAATGAAGGTCTCTATCTTGACCCAAAATTCAACCCATGAATACTTAATATTTAAGCAATCTATATATATATATATATAAAAGCCAAGCGACTGGAACAACCGGCCACTATGACATGCGGCCAGCCAACCAGCACGATAGAGGCGTGCCGACCAGCCAACCTCCTGTAGCCTCTCCCCACTGCCAGCCCTGATTGGCCCCAATCTGGGCAGGCCAGCTAGGCCACACTGTGCATGAATTCATGCACCAGGCCTCCAGTTCATTCTAATAAAATGTTATACCAAAAAAAGTAAATGGCTGGATTTGATAACTGGTTAGATATAAAGGTATAATAGAGGCTTCCTAGCTTGTCTAAATGCCACTAATGACGTCACAGAACACATGAATAAGAATAGATGTGAGTAGAGAAATGTACTAAGTTTTGGATGGGTTGACCCAGCATCCAGATTTTCTCAGCTTTGTAGGCTCATCCTTCAACATTTACCTTCTCTGTAGAGTTCCTTTGGGCATTATGTATAACAGGCACTCAGTAACTGTTTTCTGAATGATTAAGTCACTCACAATCCAGATTACTCTCATTCCAAGTTATCTCTATTTCATAGATGTAAAAACTGAGGTTCAGAAATGTTAAATACCAGGCAGGTCCAAGAGTACACAGCTAGTAAGTTACATGACACAAGTAGAGATTTGAGTTCAAAGCCCCTTTTTCATTCAGGTGTCTGCCTTCTTTATACTATATGAGTTCTCATTGCCTGTAGGATAAAGTCATATTCCTTAGGTCTGCAGAGA